AATTATCGTAATATTCGCGTAACTCCTCCGACGGTCGCATCAGATATTGTAATAGAAATCCCATGAATAGCACAAATGGCTGAGTGGACAGGGATGTCAACTCAGTGGATATCTGCGTGGGTATCCATGCGTGTAATGTATGGTATTTACTGCGGCCAAACCAAAAGTGTATGACCTGATAGTCAACTGTCTTATCGATGGTAACCTCCATCCCGTCCCATGTGGTGCTGTTGTCGCCATCCGAGTCCACACACGTGTGACTTAACGGTCGGAAAAATATTTTGATGTAAAACGTGAGAAAGTTTTGGGTGTTTGGCGTAAAAATAAGAGTCCGATTTAGACGTAAAGCCGCTACAAAACAGTAGGAATAGTGTTGGAAGGTATTGCCAAACCCTCCCATTAAGTCAATGTTGCAAACAAACTTTTTGGCTGAACTGCAGTTTATGGGATTTTGTAGACGAGTAATCTTGGAGTCTATTAACAATTTTAGTTGTTGTACTTTATGATCTCGCTCGTTATATGAAGGTGAATCTGTGGTAAAAATAATTTACCTTTAATTTAATAATTTTGTTAATATTTAATAATAAATTTCTTAATGTAATTAACAAAATTTTGAAACAAAATTAAAAGTTTAATACTAAGATTATTGAAATACTTAACAATTATATTTTAAACATGATTATTTTAGAATTCTTGTAGTAATTTATTTATTTTAAATAATTTGACTAACTATATCTGGTCTTGGAAACAAATTCAGGATTATACAGGCTATGAATTTAAATATTTTTCATTGCTTTTGAGTAAAGTATAAAACTTAATAAAGTTTAATATAAATAGCATGTATTGTACATAACTAAGTTTATGACTATTTTTATATTTAAATAAATACTTATCAATCAATATACAAATTTGCTTTCTAAGACCAGATATATAAAATATAATTTAAAGTTTAGAAAACAATTAATAAGTTTACCTAATTTAGTTTGTAATGATTTATAATTTAATGAGTAATCACCAATAATTTTAAAATACACAATTAATGTAGATATTACAAATAAAAGTAAAATTAAAATGTTATTTGATATAAATAGTTTGACTAGCATTATTTATATTGTCATTTATAACATACAACCTTGTGATAATAAAATAATTTATTATAATAACTCATCTTATTTCTGATTTTTAATTTTTATATAAACTATTTATTTATAATGTTTAAATATATTTAAAAATATTATTAGTTTTATTTAACTTTTAAATTATTAATATGTTTAAAACTAGATAATACCATAATTATATGCACATAAATTATAAAATATCTAATACGAAATATGTTTTAAATAAAAATTGTTTCAGGGTTCTTGAATTAATGAAAATGGAAATAAAATTTTTCAATGTCCAACAAATTACATAACTTAATTTTTGTCCACAATAGTAATCCTAAATAAATATAATTTACATACTGTTAGTGTTTATATACTTTTTGTTTTGATGATTATCATAGTACCCTGTCTAAATAAATACATCTATTAGTTAAACAATGTTAAGTAATTATTATAGACAACTACTGTATTTTAAAGGGCTTTGATTATTTGTGGAATCTTATATCCTATTAGGATATTTATTTAAAATCTTAACTAATCAAGGTCTACTAAGGTAACTTGTGCACTAACTTGAGTTGATTGTTGAGCAAGCGCGTTATAACATTTATACTGAATAAATGATCGGTTTAAGATATTTGACATTGATCAATTGAAAAATAGTTCACAATAGGTGCTTGAAAGATCATTGAGGTCAAAATCAATTGCAATTTTTGTATATAAGCTGCGGATCAAAAACTCCCTTCACCTCAGGGCTGTCGTAGAGCTCATACATGTGGCCGTCCCTCACCTCCAGAAGACTAACGGCTCTATCATCCAGATATCAGCCCTCGCGGGCTTAGCGCCGGTATGTAATAAACACAATATTAGTTATATTTTAAACATTAAAAACTTTTTCCCCAAATGTGTGAACAGATGCCCCTTCACCTGGTGTACGGACCGGCAAAAGCCGGGTTAGATATGTTAAGCCGAGTGCTGGCCCTCGAGTTGGGACCCAATGGCATACGAGTCAACGCTATTAAGTGATTAGTATTTTATGAAATTATTTTAATCTTTAAACTAATAAATGATTTGAAATGTCAGTCCCGGCGCTACGCAAGTGTTTGAACCGTTGCCACCGATTTGG